AGCAGGAGAGGATCCAGGATTTTAGAGCCAGGATTCCTATGATGAGTCTCCTAGACCCAGAAAACAGCGAGCAGTAACGGCAGAGACACGAAGCAAAAATGATTGAGAGACATTGGCAACAGAACCAGGAGACCAGTGTCAGATGGTGTTGGTGGGCTTCCTGTTCCGCAGAGCAAGAAAGCTGAGCATCTTAGGGCAGGAGGCTTGCAACATAGCGCAGTGCTCATGGGCAGCTGTCAGCAGGGCGGAAGTCCACAGGTTGAGGAACGGAGAGAGGCCTGCCTGGCAGACAAAAACTAGAAAAGGCTTGCCTGCTCCAAGAACTGTATCCCGAGCTGACCTGTAACCTCAATACAAAGAAAACAAAACTCCTCAGCACTGTAATAAAATCATGTTAAGTGGAGAAAAGATTGAAGCTGTTAGAGACTCCAGTTTGCTCGGATCAACCATTAACACATGGAAGCAGCAGTCCAGAAATCAAACGACGTTTTCCATTAGGCAGATCTCCGGCCCAAGATCTCTTAAAGTGTTCAAGAGCAAAGATGTCAGTTTGAGATAAAAGTGTGCCTGATCTAAGCCATGGTATTTTCAATAACCTCACACATGCATGAGACAGTTGGACAGTGAATAAGGAAGACTGTAGAAGAATTGATGCATTTGAGTTAAGGGTTGGAGGAAGATATTAAAAATAACAAAAACTTACAACAAACCAACTTGTGTTGGAAAAAGTGCATCCTTGGAAGCCAGGATGGCCAGACTTTGTCTCTCGTACTTGACATGTTATCAGGAGGGACCAGTTCCTGGAGAAAGACATCATGTTTGGTAAAGTAGAGGGTCAGCAAAAAAGAGGAAGACCCCCAACGAGATGGATTGGCACCACTGCAGCAGCGATGGGCTCAAGTTTAACAAGAATTGTGAGGTTGGAGCAGGATCAAGTGGTTACGTTCGTTGTGCATAGGGTCGCTGTACGTCGCAACAGACTCGACAGCACCAAATAAACCCAAAAACTTTTGAGTATGGTCTCTGAGTTCTATATGGCCAATGATTTATCACACAGAAAGTGCTACAGAAGAGACAAAATGTGTCAGAATTGGATTAAAAAAAATAAATAACCCTGGGCTGTTCATGCTGATACAAGAAAATTCTCTCCTCTTTGTTAAGTTACACCTGAAGGACTGACCCTATTTCCACACTTTGCTTTTCCCCCCCTCAAGAAGCCGATTATGACTCATGGTAACCCCAGTATGTGTCAGGTGGGAACTGTGTTAAGGACACAGGACTGTTAATGACTGAACTTTGGGAAGTAGATCACCAGGCTATTTCTTCCGCAGCACCCCTGGGTGGATTCTGACCTGCAGTGTGTTTGTACCTCCCATGGATTCCCAAAACCATTTCTACTGAGTCGAGCCTGAGTCATGGCAACCCCTTATCTGCTAGAGGAGAAATATGCTCCACAGCGTCTTTTGGGCTGTGATCATTCAGAACAGATTGCCAGGACTTTCTTCCAAGGTGCTTCTGGGTGAACATACTCTGACAGTTCAGCTAGCAGCTGCACAACTCAAAAACTCCTTCCTAAAACTAAAGGAGAAAGACAGACTGAATGAAGACAGTCCATGTCGTGGACTCTGTATTTAGATTGCCTGGACTTTCTTCTGACTGTTCAGCTAACAGCTGAGCACTTTATCATTTGCACCATTTTGAAGACTGCTTTCCAAAACCTAATGTGAAAGAAGATGGTCCCTTCTCGTGGACTCAACATTAAAGAGATTGCCTGGACTTTCTTCCAAGGTGCTTCTAGCAGCTGAGAACCATTTGCACCACTCGGAGACTCCTTCCCAAAACTAAAGGAGAAAGACAGACTTTGAATGCAGATGGTCCCTGTCATGGATTCAACATTAAACAGATTGCCAGGACTTTCTTCCAAGGTGCTTCTGGGTTAACCACCTCTGACAGTCCAGTCAGTAGCTGACAACTTAACCGTTTGAACCACTCGATGACTCCTTCCCAAAACTAAAGGAGGAAGACAGACTTTGAATGAAGATGGTCACTGTCATGGGCTCAACGTTAACTAGATTGCCAGGACATTCTTCCAAGGCACTTCTGAGTAAACACCCTCTGACAGTTCAGTTAGCAGATGAGTGCTAAACCCTTTGCCACTCAAAGACTCCTTTCCCAACACTGAAGGAAGACTCTGATAGAAGATGGTCTTCGGAGCAAGGCAACAATGGGTCTAAAGGACCAATGGACACAACTGGACCCTCAGCCTCCCTGGCCCTGAGACTAGAATGAAGTAGATGGTGCCCGGCACCCACTATCCACTGCTCTGAAAGGGATCACATTACAACGTGCTGAACAGAGTGGGAGAAATGTGGAACAAAACTCAGAATCATAAAGACCAGGCTTGCTGGTCAGATGAAACCTTCCAAGACTATGTATGGCCCTTAGTTATATTTGAAGTGTAGACAGGAAGTCACCCTTGTGGCTCAAGTTTCAGTCAAACAACAGACATGTCAGTACGACGAACAATGCCACCAGCGAGCTAGACATCCCTTAGAAAAGCCAACCGTGCGAAGATCAGAAAGGGCAGCGTTTGCCCAGAGAGAGCGCTCAGAAGGCAGAAAGGAAAACAGACTCCCGGGGAGGGCACGGGAAGAGGCCTGTCACATTGTGGGGGTCCTAGTGAAGGAAATGAAATAAACACCATAAGGACTGCTGAGTGGCAAACTGATTTGCACAAGAAACCTTCACTCAATTCACAATTTAAAGAAGCGTAAAGACTCAAGGAAAAAAGAAAAAGGAAAAAAAAAGTTCTCTGTTAGCGTAGGAGTTACATTTATGTTCAACAGATTACAAGTGGGAATTTTATAAGGCAGCCATCCCAGAATGCTCTACCACATTTCTGAATGTGACGGAGAAAATGTCTGGGATCCGTTACATTCCTTGAGGGATTCAACTTGGTCACTGGCGGCCTTAGGACAAAGATGAGCGTACAAATCCCATCCCGGTCCTTCTATTTCAGAAACTAACTCCAACCCTTAAGAAGCACCTTAGAAACAAGACATGTAAACCTCCACTTGAGCTTTTTGGCTCACAAATAACTAATAAAAATGCAAGTAAGATGATAAAAAATGCATAACTCATACTTTTGAGAGATTCCTTTCTTTTTTTTTTGTCCCCTGAGAAAAGATTCATAGGAGGGGAGAAAACCACATTTGAAAATACAACTTAGTAACTCTGCAAACTATCAACATTTACACCCGGGAACAGTCTCTATGGGTACGTGTCATAAACCAAACCCAAATCCAGTGCCGTCGAGTCTGTTCCGGCTCACAGTGACCCTACAGGTCAGCGTAGAACTGCCCCGGGAAAGGGGTTGGGGGTGGGGTTTCCAAGGCTGTTGGTCTTTATGAGACCAGAAAGTCTCATCTTTCTCCCAAAGAGCAGCTGGAGGGTTTGAACCACCAACCTTGTCTCTTTGAGTAGGCGTGCACAGTTGGCGGTTACATCAGAACAAGTTTTGTCCATACTTGTGAAGGTTTAAGTCTATGAGGAAAACGAAGACATCATCGTAGAGAAAACAAAACAAAACAGCAAAAGACCAGGAGATAAAAATACAACTGAACAGGTGTTTCTGTGTGTTTCCTTGTTCTGTAAACCTTCCGACTGTGCAGGGCACTTGCAGTTTCTCCAGAATCGGTAACCACATGATGGACTTCAGGGTGAGCACATTCTCCTCCAACTACAGAGAACAGGGTCTAAGTTGCATAAGTGGACGTGTGTTGTTCCCAGAGATGCTCAAGTCATCCTGAATAAACGAAACAAGACAGACTTTGTTACTTCTTATAACAGATTCAATTGTGTCCCCCGCCTCAATATGTGTTAGAAACCCTAAGCCCTATAGAAAAATTTTGAAAGATATCAGTCTGAGGACTAAGGTGCACCTGATCCAAGCCATGGTATTTTCAGTAATCTCATATGCATGTGCAAGTTGGACAGTGAATAAGGAAGACCTTAGAAAACTGGATGCATTTGAGTTATGGTGTTGGAGAGAATATTACAAGTATCATGGGCTGTCAAAAGAACCAACAGATCTGTGTTGGAAGAAGTGCATCCACAGTGCTCCTTGGAGGCCAGGATGACCAGACTTCGTCTCTCATACTTGAGACATATTATCAGGAGGGACCAACCAGTCGCTGGAGAAGGACATTGTGTTTTGTAAAGTCAGCAAAATATAGGAAGACCCCCACCCACCCACCCCCAATGAGCTGGATTGGCACAGTGGCGGCAGCAACGCGCTCAAGCGTGACAAGAATTGTGAGGATGGTGCCGGACCCGGCGATATTTCATTCTGTTGGGCACAGGGTCACTGTGAGTCGGAACCAACTCACCGGCTCCTAACAACAACAACTTGGTGAGGCACTGTAGTATAAGCACTGGGCTGTGAACCACAAGGTCGGCAGTTCAAACCCACCAAGTGTTCCTGGGAAATCCCAGACAGGGCCATTATGAAGTAAAACCAACTCAATAGTGTTTAACAACAGTAAAATAAAACTCACCACCACCACCAAAAAAACCATGGTGGTGTCAAGTCCCCTCCAACTGACGGCAACCCTACAGACCAGAGAAGAATGGCCCCATAGGGTTTCTGAAGCTGTCAGCGTTTACAGAAACACACCATGGCACCTTCCTGCCATGCCACAGTGGCTGGGTTTGAACCACCGACCTTGTAGTTAGCAGCCCAATGCTTAGTCCACTGTGCCACCAGGACTCCTAAGCACGCCCCCTGAAATGGAGGAGAATGTCCACACTGCATCATGGCTACAGAGTCTGGGATGACCACCCACAAAGAGACAAGGATCTTCCCCAAGCGGGGACAGAGAGAATGTTCAGCTAGAGATGCCTGAACTGTGAGAAAATAAACGTCTGTTCAGCAAAGCCACCCCTTGTGGTATTTCTGTTGGAGACACAAAGACAAACCTTCCACACGGAGACGCCTTTCTTCAGAAATTCTTGAAGATCTCCAAGTCCTGAGATGAAGCGCAGGGAACATTATCCCAGTCGTTATCGGGGTACGTCTCGAAGTTGGAGGTGTCCCCATCATTGGACACTTTGGGTATGATAGGGGGCTGGGATGGGGACCAGACAAGACAGAAACCCACAGTTAAGACCACAGGGATACAAACCTGCCTGTTAGATCTCTCGCTTTCCTTAATCTGGAGACAAATTCAAAGTTACTTTTGCTGCCATCTAAAGAATACTGGTCTGGTGCTGCAGGAAATGTGCTGGACCACAAGGCTGGTGTGAACCACATGGTCATTGGTTCAAACTCACCAGCCGCTTCTATACAGGGCCAGTAAGATTTGTAAACAACTTGATGGTACTGAACAACAAGGTACAACAGGGGAGTATGGGGGATCCACTAGACTTTAGCCACAAGATCCAAGGTTCAAGCCCACCAGCTGCGGGAGAAAGAGGATGCTTTCTGCTCCCGCAAATATTAAAAGGTTCAGAAACCGTATACAGTGTTGCTGTGAGTCAGAACCGACTCGACGGCGCTTACTAACAACAACAAGGGACAAGTATTGGTCTCTTCCTGTCTGGAGGAAAGAAGAGAGCAAAACCATCAGAGAGACATGAAAACAATTAGTCAAGTGTGGATTAACGGATCATACAAACATCAACCTCCAAGCCCTGAGACCAGAAGAACTACATGGTACCTGGGTATCGCTACCTAATGCTCCCAAAGGGATCATATTAGAACATCCCAGACAAGTGAGGGATCAAAATGTGGAAGAAAACTAAAAAATCCCACTAAAAAAAACAGGCTTACTGGTTGGACAGACTGCGGGAACGCCTGGTACCATGGCCTTAGTCCCCCTGCAGACCTGGAAATGAGCCCACCCTGCTGACTGAATTTTCAGTGTAACAATACACTGCTAAGGCGCTGTTGGATCAGCACTGGACTGCGAACCCCAAAGTCAGCAGTTCAAACCCACCAGATGCTCCTGGGAAGCCCTATACAGGGTCGCTATAAATCGGAATCAACTCGATGGCACTTACCAACAACAACAAGGGGAACAGTAACAGTAATAAATAATACACGCCTTAGTCATGGGCCATTTGAAGCTACGTGGCAGCATTTACACAAAGCCAACATTCAAAGGGAGGAAATGGGATGGAAGACGTCACATTGTGGCAATCACAATTAATGAGATGAGGCAACATTTATCTCAAGTGTCGAATGAAAACCCGACCCACTGTGGAAACCTTCACCCAACTCAAAATAAAGTGTATTTTTTTAAAAAATGAACGTCTGCCTTGATGTGTCTTCTCTTCGGAAGACTATCTGATGTTGTTGACATTGTTGTTGCTAAGTGCCATCGAGTCAGTTCTGACCCATAGCAAACCCTGTACAGGGTTTCAGAGGGCGGCTGGTGGGTACGAACCACCGACACTGTGGTTACTAGGCTATTTCTTCTTCTACCACAACACCAGACGGTATATATGGGATGAAACAGAGCTGCAAGTAGAGCGTCAAACTCTCAGAAGCCTCCGGGACAGACAGTCCTGTTCGTTTCCACCCCTCCGGTCCCGTGTGGAGAAATAGCCGACCCTGAAATCAGGGCCTGGTTCACAAGAAATCAGAAGGGACAAATGAAAAAAGATGTTCCAACGCACTCATTGGACAGGCAGGGAAGCCGGGTTACCGGCGACTGGAAGTGGCGGGTGGTGTTGTACAAGGCAATTCGGGCAAACACTGAGGCTCAGACTCAGAAGCTGTCCCTTCCTGCTGTCGTTCAGCGCGGCCTCGCTAATCCTGATTCACCTGACTGCGTGGAACAGCCCCTTAGAGTCTGCTACGCTGTCATCTTCTAAGAGCTGCTGGTCAGCTCTTTGTCTCCTGCAGAGATGCTGGCTGAGTTTGAACCGCCAACCTTTCCGTTAAGTAACCAAGCAGTTAATAACCCTTGCTGCATAAAGAGTCATTGGATTACGGAAATCCTACCTTCAGCCTCCTCTGTGGGACACCTTCCCAGTCGATACCCCGGAACCACCGATGTCGTTTGATGTCATTTGCTCCGTTCTGAAAAAGAAACCAACATCATCCGAGTTCTGGATGGAATTGTGACTATCCACCCCGCAAAAAATACAGGCACTGGAAATCCTAAAACACTTGCCCCCCCCCTCCTTTGTTATGTTAATGGAAGCCTTTGGAGATAAAGGGGAAGCCTTTGTCACATAGAGTACCATCAAATAAAGCAAAGAAACCCAAAAGAATTAAGGACCTTCACCCACATCCTACAGAGAGAGGCTTCCCTGAGAGTTGTTAGCACCTTGAAATCTGACTTCTACTCTCCCAACTTCCCAGAAAATAAATTCATGGTCTTTAAAGCATGATTTCTGTAATATACTAGCTGAGACAATCAGAACACATATCTGTAAAAAGGCAGGTACAAATATGCTCAAAAGGAAAAAATCTCTTACACATATTTGCTTCGTGTTAAAGATTGTCTGGAGAGTGACCACCAAGTACCGAACTGTCCATGAAGCCGTTTACTTTCTCTATGCATAAACCAACATGGTCACCAAGTGAACGAGGCTCTGAATCAGAGAATAAAGTCTAGACAACCATTCCTCACTTAGTGACCGTGTTGTTATCCAACCATCTTGTTATACAGAACATTCTGCACTGGCCGCCCAGAGCCCAGAGAAGTCTAGATAGTCACTCCTCACTTAGTGACCACGTAGTTATACAACATTCTGCACTGGACACAAGAGTCCGGAGAAGTCTAAACACCCACTGCTCACTTAGCAACCGTCTAGTTATACAACATTCCGCACTGGCCACCAGAGTCTGGAAAGGTCTAGATACCCACTTCTCACTTAGCAACTGTCTCGTTACACAACATTCCATACTGGCCACAGAGTCTGGAAAAGTCTGGATACCCACTTCTCACTTAGCGACTGTCTCGTTACACAACATTCCGCACTGGCCACAAGAGTCCGGAAAAGTCTAGATACCCACTCCTCACATATCCATTTAATTATACAACATTCTGCACTGGGCGCCAAGAGTCCAGAAAAACCTAATATCCAACATGTGTTAGCCAAGTCTGGAAGTCAGGAACACTGAAGTGTGAGCAATCCTCACTGTGACAGTTAAACAGTTTTATGTCCAATCGGTGGGGCAGGATTCTCAGTGACTTAACAGTTACCACGTAGCCACCGTCTGCACTGCGCAGAGATCTACGATGCAGTCGGTCCCCAATACGGGATCTGATGTGGCCAGACCTGACCTCCTGTGATGGTCTAGCCTCGCTTTTAAGATGCTAATGCAGCTGAACGCTACAGGATGAGGTTGTATCTTAAGTCCATCTCTTTTGAGACATAAAGGAGACTAAACAAGCAAACCTGGTGTGGAGCTGCGAGTTGAAGCGCTGGACTGCAAGGTTGGGTGGAACTACAAGGTCAGCGGTTCAAACTCAAAAGTCACTCCTCGGAAACCCTATAAAGGGTCTCTATGAGTTGAAGCCAACTCGGGGGCACTCATTAACAATAAGAACAGACAAGCAAACAGAGCTCAGAGGAATGTACTAGAACCAAGATAAAAGAGCTGGGAGGAGTGTGGCCTTTGGACCTGGGATCCCTACACTGAAAAGCTCTTAGACCCAAAGGAAAAGTAATGCCAAGAAACGGTTAGAAAACTGACTAGCAACAGTGAATGCTGTACAAACGCACTATGCTCAGTAACACTTGATATTAGATGATCTATTAGATGATCTATTTGGCTGTTAGATGCAATATTAGATGATCTATTTGGCTGTTAGATGCAATATTAGATGATCTATTTGGCTGTTACAGAAACAGTCTTAACTATAATTGATGTTTGTTGCCGTAATAACATATTGCCTGTATTTCTACCACTAGTTACGGGCTTTATGTGTTATATTTTAATATCCTTGAGCCTGAGAAGAAACATGGTTTACTTGCACCAAACTGATCGGTTCTGAGAAATCGTTAATGCCCTTAAAGTGTTTTTTTTTTGTGGGTGTGAAAGAAATGCTGAGAATTTTAATTAGTCCCTCTTATTACAGTATTGAAATTAATAATTTGTCAAGTCATATTCAAGTGTTGATTTTATATACTTATATCAATCAATAAACATTGTGACAATTGGGGGAGGGTGGAAAAAAAGAATGCTGGGCCTAAAGATGCTGAAAGGAGACAAGGACCTTTTCTCGCTTTCTGCAGAGACAACAGAGAGAAGCTTTCCCCGAGGGCCAGCAACCTGAAGTTGGACATGGAGCCTCCTAAACTGTGAGGAAATCTATTTCTGCCTATTGTAACCACCCCCTTGTGGTATATCTATTACAGCAACACTAACACAACACTTAATTGTGCTCATGAGAAATCTGTACCTGGACCAAGAAGCAGTTGTTCGAACAGACCATGGGAACACTGAATGTTTTAAAATTGGGAAAGGTGTGAGACAGGGTTGCATTCTCTCACCATACTTATCCAAACTGTATGCTGAGCAAATAATACGAGAAGCTGGATTCTATGAAGAAAAACTTGGCGTCAGGATTGGAGGAAGACTCATTAACAACCTGCGATATGCAGATGATACAACCTTGATTGCTGAAAGTAAAGAGGACTTGAAACATTTACTGATGAAGATCAAAGAGCATAGCCTTCGGTATGGATTACATCTCAATGTCAAGAAAACAAAAATCCTCACCACTGGACCAATAAACAACATTCTTATCAATGGAGAAAGGATTGAAGTTGTCAAGGACTTCATTCTTCTTGGATCAACTATCAACACTCGCGGAAGTAGCAGTCAAGAGATCAGACAACGTATTGCACTGGGCAAATCTGCTGCACAGGAACTTTTTAAAGTATTGAAGAGCAGACATGTCAGCTTGAGGACTAAGGTGTGCCTGAGCCAAGCCATGGTGTTTTCAATAGTCTCATATGGATGCGAAAGCTGGACAGTGAATAAGGAAGATCGTAGAAGAATTGATGCCTTTGAGTTGTGGTGTTGGAGGAGAATATTGAAAGTGCCATGGACTGCCAAAAGAACCAATAGATCTGTTTTGGAAGAAGTGTAACCAGAGTGCTCCTTGGAGGCCAGGATGCTAAGCTTCTTCTCTCATACTTTGGACATGTTGTCCGGAGGAAACAGTCGCTGGAGAAGGATGTCATGCTGGGTAAGGTGGAGGGTCAGAGAAAAAGAGGAAGACCCCCAACGAGATGGATCAGCCAGGTGGCATCATTTATGGACTCAGGTGAGGCAGCGGTAGTGAGGTTGGCCCAGGATCGGACATTGTTTCGTTCTGCTGTGCATGGGGTCGCTATGAGTCGGTTCCGACTCGATGGCACCTGACAACAACAACAGAACTAAAACCTGTGTTCAGGTGATAAGTGAACGTGGCTGGGCCCATGTCATTCTGTGATGACGCAATCTGCCTGTTCTGTAATGAAGGCATGGGACAGTTACTAGTGATGAAATTTGTCAGTCTGTAATGCTGTAATGGAGTCCTGGCGTGGCACTGTGGGTTAATGCACTGGACTGCAAAGTCGGAAGTTCAAGCTCATCCGCTGCTCCTCAGAGGCTCTATACAGGGTCCCAATGGGTCGGAATTGATGCAAAGGCACTTGGCAACAACAACAGTGATGTAATGAGGCAGTATACAGCGATGTCATGCGACAGTTACGAGATGATGTAATGAGGCAGTATACAGCGATGTCATGCGACAGTTACAAGATGATGTAATGAGGCAGTATACAGCGATATCATGTGACAGTTACGAGATGATGTAATGAGGCAGTATACAGCGATGTCATGTGACAGTTATGAGATGATGTAATGAGGCAGTATACAGCGATGTCATGTGACCGTTACGAGATGATGTAATGAAGCAGTATACAGTGATGTCATGTGACAGTTATGAGATGATGTAATGAGGCAGTTATGTAATGATGGAATTTGGTAGTTATGTAATGATGTAATAAGGAAGTTACATAATGATTCAATGAGGCAGTCATGTAGTGATGTAACTGACAGTCACGTAATAAAACTGTGGTAGTCACGTAATAAAACTGTGGTAGTCACGTAATGACGTAATGAGGTAGTCACGTAATGATGTAATGAACTAGTCATGTAACGACGTAACTGTGGCAGTCATGTAATGATGTAGTGAGGTCGTCACCTAACGATGCAGTGTAGCAACTGTGTCATGGTGAATTCATCCTGCATTTAGTGATCTGATGACTTAGTAGAACTGGGACAGGGACTGGAAACACACAGTGTTTCTATAACCATCACTGTTGAGCGCTCAGCACAGCTCCAAATCCACTCTCAACCACGGAGCTGGACACTTTAAAGGGGAGAATGGCATGTTCAAATCAACCTCACAGAGGAAATAAACACACTAGGGAGGGGCTGGCTGAAAACTGCTCCTGAGAGATGTGCTTGTTTGGAGGAGGGTAGGGAGGTAGAATGTAGGTGCTCTTAGGTTTTGTATGCCCAGAAATCAAGACATAAAATTTGACTGACTGGGCATCAGTGTTGGATTTTGATGTCTATCGTGTAAAATGACACATTTATATTAAACTACATTCACTATACAAAACACAACAGTTGCTGCTGAAATGATCCCAACTCACAGCAACCTCAGGGTCTCAGAGTACAACTGTGTACAGTAAGTTTCTCAAAGACTAGTATTTCACAAGATTGCCAGACTTTTCTCCTGAGACACCGGTGGGTAGATTCAAACCACCAACTTCTCATTATTGACTGAGAGTTCAATAATGCAATCAACACTTTATCACTTGCTGATAAATCAATTCAGACTCACAGTGTCCCCCACCCCCCATGTGTGCCATCAGTGAATGACTTTTCATAACTAGATCCTAGATCCCACTCATGGTGCCCCTGTGTGTGTCAGAGTAGAACTGTGCCCACAGGGTTCTCAGTGGATGATTTTTCATAAGTAGATCCCACTCATGGTGCCCCTGTGTGTGTGTCAGAGTAGAACTGTGCTCCACAGGGTTCTCAGTGGATGATGTTTCATAAGTAGATCCCACTCATGGTGCCATGTGTATGTCAGAGTAGAACTGTGCCCCACAGGGTTCTCAGTGGATGATTTTTCATAAGTAGATCCCACTCATGGTGCCCCTGTGTGTGTCAGAGTAGAACTGTGCCCACAGGGTTCTCAGTGGATGATTTTTCATAAGTAGATCCCACTCATGGTGCGCCCCCCATGTGTGTCATTGTACAACTGTGCTCCACGGGGTTTCCAAGTTCTGATTCTTGGCATGAGATTGCCAGGCCTTTCTTCAGAGGTACCTCTGGGTAGACTGAGAACCCCACCTATGGTGAGCAACAGAAAGCGTACGTCCACGTAGCAGGAATACTGACCTTCATGTTTCCCAGTCTCTTGGTCCTGTCCACAACAAGCAGCTTCCTGATAAGGTCTCTGTTTGTGAGAAGGAAGCAGAGTATAAAAACCTCAATGTCTGCAGCCCACGTGCATATCACATGACAACGGAGAGCAAAGAGCTACACTCCCCTGAACTCCCTAAAACGAGACCTACTTGGCTGACTGAGACTAGAGAACTCTCCGAGATTAGCACCGTAACATACCCTCCAAAGGTGGCCCCCAAATTAAGTCCCTAGATCATCCCGTGGCTGGACAACATCTGTGCTTGCTGAACTTCTTGATCAAATCACCTAAACTGAAACCAAACAGCCCACACTTGCTTTGAAACACAGATGAGACTGCCAGGGGTCAGGGAAACTAGATGAAGGGAAACAGAACCACCAGAATACAATTAACGAGGATGGTTGCCCTCTGTGAGAATGTAACTCATGTCTCTGAACAACTACTGCACAGAGACTACGGAATGGGAACCCAAGCTTTCCTGTAAACCCTCACTTAAAAATACACTACAATGTTACTGAAAAATAACCACCACCACCAGCTAACTCACTCACTGGTATATGAAAATTTAGGTAATAATTCACTTTGCATTTTGGCAAAACATTTTATGGGAATGATTTCTTATGGCTATCCTTGAAAACCCTACACAGAGTCCCAATGCATCGGAACCGACCCAACACCGTCTTACCCACCACTCATCTGTCAATTTGTAATCTCATATTCTTAGGACATGTTATCAAGGCGGATCAGTCCCTCCAGAAGAACATCAATCATGCTTGATAAAGTGAAGGGTCAGTGACAATGAGGAGGACCCCCAACGAGATGAACTGACACAGTGGCATCAGCAATGGGTCAAACTTAATGATTGTGAGGTTGGCTCAGGCCTGGGCACTGTTTCGTTCTGTTGTACGTAGGCTTGCAAGAGTCGGAACTGACCCAGTGCCACTTAACAACAAGAACAAATTTCTTGTCCGTAACTGCTCTTCAAAAACGTAAACAACACTGCATTGCTCATTCACAGAGCGTAAATTCAGGGAAAAGGGTTGATTTAGTCCTTAAGATGAAAAATAAAAACAAAAATCAGAAAATACAAGCCAGCCCTGAGTATCCGAACACACCATATAAATCAAAAACCAAATGAACCATCCCTGAAAAACTACATGTATTCTTATGAAAATAAACAGCACACTGCCTCGCGAGGCTACTCGGTTGTGTGATTATTGTTTTAAAATGCTCGCTTTAACGTAAGCACGCAGATCACGAGGGGATATTTGAAGTTGGCTCGTTCTGCTACACCTTCCTCTGAAATCTGAGCACAGGTCAGTACAAGTCATCCAGCTCTAAGGCTGTGGTTGTTAAGTGCCGTCGAGCAAGTTCTGACTCATAGCAATTCTATGTATAGGGTTTCCGAGGCGTGACTGGTGGGTTTGAACCGCCGGCTTTGCGGTTAGTAGTCCAGTGCGTAATCTACTGCGCCACGGCAGGACTCCTTCAGGATTTATAAAATAAGTACTACTTTGTCACGGCATCAGTTCTGATTCATGGCAACCCCGTGGGTTTCAGGGCAGATTTGTGGTTATTCTTTGAAAAAATGGATTGCCAGGTCTTTGTTCCGTGAGCCCTCAGGGTTGGACTTGACACAGGAATTCCAGCTTTTTAGGTTAACAGTCAGGCACAGGGATTGTCCTCTACTTGGCTTGCATGCTCTCAGTACGGTTCAACATTCCCGGGTGTTATATCCTGTGGAAACTGCAGTCAATAGCATGCATCCAAACTGGTGACTGGAAAACCAATTTGCTGTGTTAACTTTACACCCAACTCACAGCAAAGAGGTTTTTTTTTTTTAAACATAAAGGTCGCCAGCAAGCTAACATGCCTACTTGTGTGTTTCCTTTGCCTTTCAGTCTTGGAGCAGGGTTTGTCCTGAATGAACCTCATTTCTTGCCTTGATGGCTTGCCACAAGCTTTATAACAAAAAGGGGGGAGTAGTTAATCTTAACATTCCAGGAACAGAGGACCCTAGGACCATCAAGGGAGAAGAGCACGAGTAGAATGTGGGACCTTATCTAGAGAAGCAGTGATATCAAAGATGGAGGCAGAGATGAAGACGTGGAGAGAGGGAGCAGCTGAGGACTCCAGACTCATGGAAAGAGAGGGACTGAGGCAGATGGCCAGGAGGCAGATTTGCAGAATGTGCCCTTTGGTTGTTAAAATGATGATATATTCCTAAGTGTTTTTGTATACATCTCCAAAAAAACAGAGGGAATGGAAGCAAATACAGTTGAATGATGACGCGTGGAGGGGATTGTAACCACTATAATGAAATGAAATAGGATAGGGTGAATGCAAACCTCATGTTTTCCCATGTCAATGATCACTCGATTTGCAATAAAAACTTTAAAGCAAAAATGTACTGGGTTATAGCTCGTTCTACTTAAACAAAAAACGTCTACAAAACTTCAATCTCCTACAAAAACAAAAAACTCCAAGCTCCTTTTTGTCGAGTCGATTCTGACTCATAAGGACCCAGGCCACGTAGGGCTCCCAAAACTGAAAATCTTCACAGGTACACAAACACCTACCTTTCTTCCTCAGAGCAGCTAGTGGGTCTGAACTGCCCATCTTAACAGTGCTTATCCTACAGCACAGGATGAAGATGAAAACTTACGTAAGTCTAACGTGTATACACGCATGTAGAGCAAATACGTTGTTGATGTGGCGCCGTAGGATAAGCACTCGACCTCACAGTTGGAATCACCTCGATGGCACTTTAACAAGAGGTGCCGTGGAAGAAAGTCCTGGCAATCTGTTCTCTTTAAACACGGCAGTCAGGAAAACCCTGTGGGGTCGTTCCATTCTGTCATGTAGGATTGCTGTGAGTCAGAATTAACTGGATGAACCCCAACAATAGTAAGTAGTAGATTTTGTTTTAGGAGTCCAGGTGTAGTGTTATGTGGTAAGCACTTGACCGTAACATCGGTTTGATTGCAAAGTCAACGGTTCAAACTCACCAGCCAGCTCAAACTCCACAGACAGGGTCGCTATGAATCAGATCTGACTCAATGGCACTCAATAACATATTTTGTTTAGTAATATCCCCATATAACATCACACAGCATGGAGCACCGGGTTAACACGCTGGACTGCAGGGTTTTAATACACAAATGCTGTTGTTGTTATGTGCCGTCGTGTCTGCGCCGACTTACAATGCCCTGGTTCAGCGTTTCTGAGGAGTGCCTAGTGGGTCTGAACAGGCGACCTTGCAGTTCAAAGCGAAATTGCACTCCAGCGCATTAACCTGCAGCGCCATGCCAGGATACCAGAGAACTTCAAAAGATTTGTTGAAAAATAGACTTGAAAGACGGTGGAATTTATTCATGGACTTTATGTGGCACTACGGAATAAGCACTCGACCACAAGGTTGGCGGTTCAAACTCACCAGCCGCTCCTCACAAACCCTACACAGGGCCAGTGTGAGTCAGAACCGATTTGAACGCACATACAACAACAGATGAAACAAAACCGCCCCAGGTCCTATTGCCTAACAAAGAAGGTCACTGGATTGAGTTTACAAATTAACCCAAACCAGCAGCCATCGAGTTGATTTCGACTCACAGCCACACAATGTGTTACAGGGTCTCTGGACCACCTTCTTTATGAGAGATTGCCAGGCCTATCTTCCGTGGTACCTCTGTATAGGTTCAAACCATCGATCTTCAGTTTAGTAGTCAAACATAAACCCCATCAAAAATAAAACAAAAACAAAAAACCGCACTGCTATCAAGTCACTTCTGATTTACAGCAAGCCCAGTATAAGGTTACAAGACTGTAAACCTTTACAGGGACAGATGGCCTCATCTGTGAAAGTAAACGTTTTGTGTCATCTTGGGCACGCCAGGATGTGATAAACCAGTAGGAGGATTAGGCCTTAATCCTACCACCTCCCTGTTGCACTTTATTAGAGAGTCCCAAGGGTATGCCTACAATGCATCTTCTTTTACAAGAGATGAAAAGAGAAAGAGATTTGAGCAGAGAGAGGGGGACCATGTACGACTAAGACAGAAGAGCCGCCGGAAGCACCATGCATTCTGTGGACCTGAGGAGCTCCTAGATCCACAAGAAGGTTGATGCCAAGACACACGGTGCTCTCCCAGGAACGCTGGACCTACAGACACTGAAAGGTGACAAGGACCTTTCTCCAGAGCCCACAGAGAAAGAAAACCTTTCCCTGGACTCAGCACTCTGGATTCGGACTTCTGGCCTCCTAAACTGTGAGGGAATAAACTTCTGTTTGTCAAAGTCACCCCCCTTGTGGTCATTCTATTATAGCAGGGTTAGAGGACTCAGACATGATCTTTCTCCCGCGGAGAAAGCAGTCCAGTTTAGCAGTCCGGTGTTTATCCTGTGGTACCACCAGGGGATTGAGAACAGGACACGGCCACCAAAGGTATTCGTGTATTTCAAAGAAAGAATTCTTTTCCCTTCATTGTGCTAGAAATTAACCATCGCTGTTGCCACAGAGGGAATTGCAAATCACATGGACCCCACGTGACAGAGTCGAGCTGCCCTCGGCTGTCATCTGTACGGGGCCAGATCCCCTGGTCTTTCTCCCACGGAGCTGCTCGTGATTCGAACTACCTATCTTCTGCCAAGCATTCCTCACTCCAGCACTAGAGCGCCTGCGTATCAAGTATGGTGCAAGTCAGGTAGCAGTAATAAAAGCATTCTAATTTTTTATTTAAAAAATAATATTTTACCATGTTTTGCGTGAAGGATTTCCACAGCCATTCAAGTTCCTGTTCAACCATTTCTATACACATTGTTCAGTGACACTGGCTCCATTCTACAGAATGTACCAACATTCTTGATATTTCTACTCAGGTTGTTCCATTTCTATTCATCTAGTTTCCCTACGGTTTTTGTTTTACGGTCATTGTTGACTTTGGGCCTAGTGTCCATTGGCTTTTGGAGTCTTGGTGTGGAGCTGTGGGTTAATGCGTCAGACCGCAAAGCCATTTGAACTGCAAGGTTGGCGGTTCAAGCTCACCAGTTGCTCCTTGGAAATCCTATACAGGGTCACTATGGGTCAGAACCGACTCAACGGCACTTACGAATGACGACACTGGTGACTTTTATAAAGAAGCAAAGTACTGACGGAGGACAGTTTTTACTGTGTAAGGTAATCTGTGATTTAGCTGCAAGGTGACCCCCAGGGGTTAGTTTTGGCCCTACGTCTGACAAGTCCCTCTAGGCAATAGTTTCAGGAACTCTCCATTCTCAATCGGCCCCACTAGCTCTGCTTTGTCTTTGCTGTTTAGGGAATTTGAGGGTCTACCCCACATTTTCCTTCCATCCTATAGCAGTCCGTCAAAGGAATCCTGGTGACAGACTGTTTAGTGCCCGGCTGCCAACCAAAAGGTTAAGTGGTTCGAACCTGCCAGCCGCTCTGCAGGAGAAATACGTGGCAATCTGCTTCCACAAAGATTTGCAGCCTCGAACACTCGAAAGGGGCAGTTCTGCGCGGTCTTAGAGGGTTAAGAAGAGTTGGAATCAATTCAATAGCAGCAGGTTTGGTTTGGGGATTTTATAACAGGCAATCTCCTGGGTCCCTGATTACAGTCGTCTGTAGTACGTGCTCAGATACCACCCAGTTCTTCTAGTCTCCGTGGAGATGAACACTGTAGACTCTGGTCTCATCATTTAAAAAGACTTTGAGGATGAGTCCAATGTAAGCAAAGACTACGACATTGCTGAATTCATGCAACAATCCCAACAAGGATGAGATGCGCCCCGTGAGGAGGGGGAAGTTACTACCATTCACATACCCGATCTGTGTTCTTAGCAAATTGGACGAGCAAGCACCTCTCCCTGCTAATTCTGAATACTGCCAACTGCCAGAGGAATCAAAGTGGATCCTGGTGTGGGGCTGTGGAATGGCGCACTGGACCACAAGGTTGGCAGTTCAAACCCACCAGTTACTCCTGGGGAACCTTACACAGGGTCGCTATGGGTCAGAACCGGATCGACAGCTCTTAGCAACAACAGCACAGGTCTTTAAAGGTGGTTGTTGTTAGGTGTCATCGAGTCAGCTCGGACTCATAACGACCCTACATGCAACAGAACGAAATGCTGTCGGGTCCGGCGCCAACTTCAACACGGCTGGTGTTGGAGCTCAGCGTGGCGGCCGCTGTGCCAACCCATCTCATAGGGGCTCTCCCTCTTTTCTGCAGACCCTCCACTTTGAAAAGGTGGTATATCATCAAAGGAGAATACTTAGAACCGTTCCCCTTTTTTCAGGAAAGGTAAGTGCCCACAACAGCTTCCACACAGAAGATTCGGAGAGCCCAAGGTGGTAAAAACTATCTGTCGAATATCCCCATTCATGGTTTCAGACACTCTGGAAGCTGACTTACTTGACGTAGAAATCCAAATGTCTGGGGAAATCTATTTTGGCGGCAAGAATTTTCTGATAGATTCCAAATGGGTTGTCGTCAAAAAATGGAGGGAACCTGTCAGGAAAACAAGCACGTGGTGTTAGTGAAAGACAAGTATAGAATGATCCTAGGGAGTCTACAATGGTTACCATTCCTGCTTTAAGTACAAAGGAAACCACCCTTCCATACCGACTCTCTCCTACCACACTAAAGTCATAGAAGTTGCCAAGACGTCCGGCAGAGAGATGGCTTTGACCTGCACAGAGCACGCCACACCGTGACTGGGTTACTCATGACCTTTTCTTGTTAAAACCCTTTAAAAAACCACAACAGAAGACCAATTCCAGCTCCTCAGAACGAGAACATCCGTTTGGACGAGATACCATCTCCTCCAAGACAAGAATCTGAGTTCGGCCAGGTGGACCCTGAAAGTGAGCCATCAAGACGCCCCGTCCATGTTTTCATGGGATCCGTTGTCTCTGATCCCAACGCCCCATAAACTACATTGGTGGTGGTGGCTGTGTGCCACCGAATCGGTTCCTACTCATAGGTTCCTACCCATATATGGTTTCTGAGGCTGTCTTTGTGGAAACAGAAAGCCTCAACTTTCTCCAAGTAACTGGTAGATTTGAACTACTAACCTTGCAGTTAGTAACCCAGTTTATGATTTACTATGCTACCAAGGCTCCTTACAAACTTCATTAAAAAGAAAAAAAAAAACCCTGCATCCCACCAGACCCCAAGATCCCTGGTGAAGTGCCCACTCAGCAGGCAGATTTTCCTAATGAAAATTCAGGCAGCATGCCATCAGAACCAAAGTCACGGCCATCAGAACCAAAGTCACGGCTAGTGAGTGGAACCTGGTTCATCATGGACCCAGTACGACAGAGCATAGAGGCTTCCTAGGGTTTGCAAGGACAGAAATCTTTATAGGAACACACACAGCCTCATCTTTCTCCCTCAGGGCGCCTGGTGGGTTTGAACCTCTAGCCTTGAGGTTAGCAGTACTATGTGCTTATCCCAAAGCAACACCAGGGCTCCTGTCTAATGTAACTAGCTACAACATTTACTGAAAAATTACTCCCAGCTCTGAAGTAGATATTTGTACATATTCCCTGAACTGAGCCTCACCAACACTGACTACTTCAGAAGTTACTTGCCATTCCCGTGGCTGAATTTTCAACCAAAATCAACTCCTTCTGAAAGGCTAATAAGGGGAATACTGAACTGCTAATTGCAAGGTCGGTGGTTCAAACCCACCAGCCAGTCCTCAGAAACCCTACAAGAGATTCGCTATGACTCAGCATCGACTTGACAACAAGGAGGAGTCGACACTAGAGAGATATGCAAAGCTTACAATAATCAACCTTTGAGATCAAAAGGGCAGGATTTACCCAAGGACAAAGTTCAGAAAGGTTAGGGAAGAAGGACGAATGGAAACAGGAAAGACGGGCAGAAAGAGGATTGAGCGGTGTTTCCCGTGTTAAAATGGTAGTCAGCGAGATGAAAGAAAATGTGTAAGAACTGCTGACTGGAAAACAAATGTGCTTTATCAACCTTCACCCAATACACAGCAAGAAAAACAGTATGTCTTTCTTTGTTTTATAAGGTTTTCATTGTGAATTGAGTGATAGTCGACATGGGGAAACATCAGTTTTACACTCATCGGACCGTATTTCCTTTCATTGTAATGATCACAAGTCCTTGTATGCATTATCATTCAACAGTACTTGCTTCTCCTATTCCGTTTTGTTTTGTTTGTTGGGGATGTACACCAAAGCACTCGGGAATATAGAATCATTCAAACAACCAAAGGGTAAGTCTGTCCCCCGGCCACCAGCACACAGCCCCTCTCCCCCCACCCCCCATGAGTCTAGTGTCCTCAGCTGTTCTGTCTCTCAAAAACAGTATTTTTAAAGAAAAAGTAGTTAGCCACTCCCGAGCCCGAGTCTGCACTGCCTTCAGGACCAGTCTCCGTCCCTAACAGTGGCTGCTGGAATCACACTGGCCTCTGCTCTGGGCATGGGCGGCGGCGGTTCTCAGCACGCTTGGCTGTATGATTTCATCTCAGAGAAACGGGCCATTAAACTCGGGGAGAGAATGTGTCAGACATACCTAGAAACGTTTATGAGAGAATATTAAACAGCGTGCTGTCGGGAGTCAGGCGTGAAAAGATGATATCATGGAGGCGATGTCAGAAAAGTCAACATTCTAGCTCAGTGCTGTTAGCTGATTCCCACTGGTACCCACCCCAGCCCCACGGGGGGTGGGGGTGGGGGTGGGGTGGGGGGTTTCTAGGCTTTACAGAATCAGATCTCAATGACTCAATGGGTGGATTGGATCAAAGCTTTCTAATGTTCTGAGCCACCCACGAGTTTCCTCAATAGACCCTACCGTTGCTGTGTACCGTGGAATCGACTCCGACTCACGGGCACCCCATGTTCCCAAGTAGTGGGATTTCCTGGACTGAAAGATCTTCCTCCTACAGGGTCTCGGGAGATCTGCCAACTGAACCACCAACCACTCAACCACTGCGCCACCAGAGTTCCGGACTGTGGGTCCTGATATTATTAGGTTGTATCCAGTCTGTTCTAACTCATAGCAACCTTACACACAACACAATGTCACACAACCCGGTCCTGTGCCATCCTCACATCCGTTAACACCTGAGCCCATTGTTGCTGCCACTGTACCAATCCACCTCATTGGGGGTCTCCCTCTTTTTTGCTGACCCTCTTTACCAAGCATGATATCCTTCTCCAGGGACTGGTCCTTTCTGATAAAAAGTCCGAAGTATGAGAGACAAAGTCTCACCATCCTGGCTTCTAAAGCCCTCTGGCTGCACTTCTTCAAACACAGATTTGTTTGTTCTTCTGACAGTCCATGGTACTTTCAATATTCTCCTCCAACATCCTCCCTCAAATGCATCCATTCTTCTACGGTCTTCCTTATTCACTGTCCATGCATACAAGCTTACTGAAAATACCTCGGCTTGGGTCAGGCACACCTTGTTGCTGTCATGTGCTGTGGAGTGGGTTCCGACTGACAGAGACCCTGTACAGGGTTTCCAAGCTTGTAAGTCTTTACGGGAGCAGAAAGCCTCATCTTTCTCCCGCAAACAGCTGGCTGGTAGTTTCGAACTGCTGACCCTGAGATTAGCAGCCCAAATTATAAGCATTACACTACCAGAGCGCCTTAGGCACACCTTAGTCCTCCTGAAACTGGTATATACTTGCTCTTAAACATTTTAATGAGGTCGTTAGCAGCAGATTTGCCTACTGTAATTTGTCAATTGATTGCTTCACTGCTGCTTCCATGCGCATTGAAAAGTGGATTCAAGTAAGATGAAGTCTTTGACAACTTCAATCTTTTCTTCCTCTACCACGTTATTCAGTGGTCCAGTTGTGAGGATTTTTGCTTTCTGTACATTTGAGGTGCAATCCATACTCAAGGGTGTAGTCTTTGATCTTCATCAATAAGTATCTCAAGTCTTCTTCAGTTTCAACTAACAAGGTTCCATCAACTTCATAAAACAGGTTGTTCATGAGTTTCCCTTACCACATAGTTGTGTTCCTGCTGTATGTCATGAGTTGGTTCCGACTCATATAGGGCTTCCAAGGCTGTAAATCTTTTTATTTTTTTTAAAACTTTTCATGGTCCGTTGAGTAAGGGTTTACAGACAAGATCACGAGCATTACATTCAACAAATCCTACACTGTTTCATTGAGAATTACAATCCTTTCCCTACATGTTATCCTATCCCGCCGGGGTTCCTACCAGTATTCCACCCACTTTCCCATCCTTTTTCTACTGGGTCCTCAGGAAAATGATGCCCTTTTGATTTTGAATGACGATTCCATGACCTGCCCACCCCCAGTAAATCTAGTACTTGGTTGAAAATTGGGCCAGAAGAGAGAGTTTCTTTCCAACGAGGCTGTTACTCTTTATGGGCGCAGAAACCGTCATCTTTCTCCCTCTGAGCAGCAGATGGATTCAAACTGCTGACTTTGTGGTGAACAGCCCGACACTAGGGCTTCTTCATTGCATATTTTAAATAAACCGCGTTGAAAATGTTATCAACGTGTAGATCGTATGAAGATATTTGCTTTTGTGGCACAGACTCATTTATTTATTCATCAACAGCAAATCCAGAGATGTCCACGTAGGATTTTTGTTCCTTTTCGTTTCGGGAGCAGATCTCCAGGTCTTTGTCCCATACAACCGCTGCTGGGTGGATTAGAACTTCCAACCTTTTGGTTAGTGGTTGAGCATTTAGCCATTATGCCACCTGGCTCCTTAAAAGCACAAGCAGGGGTCCGAGAAAAATGGCATTCCCCCGAGCGTGGGGGAGGGTGCACATCCGCCCCCTTTGACTTCCAGCCAGCGAGTCTGTGAAGCGGCCACAACCCGACCCACTGTGGTGGGAGCTCGCTGCCGGAAGTGGGAGGGAACACTGGGCCACGTGACGCACTGCAGCGGACCGCAGCACGGAGGGCCACAGGGCTCCTGTCCCGACGTGGAAAGGAATACTGGACCACATGCCATACTCCGGAAGCCGGATGTAACGCGGATCGCATGCCTCACATCCGGAAGTGGGATAGAGGCTGGACCACGTGCCTCACATCCGGAAGTAGACAATACGGCTGGACAAGGTATCACACATCCGGAAGCGGGATACAACACGGGACCACGTGACTCACGTCCTTCGAAGGCGGACACAAAAGTGGACCACAAGGCTCATGAGTCAAAACAAGATGGGAGATGACCCAGTGTCTCACATCCGGAAGTGGGATAGAATACTATACCACGTGATTCACATCTAGCAGTGGGATGCAACACTAAACCACGTGATTCACATCCAGCAGTGGGATGCAACAGTGGACCATGTGCCTCACATATTCTAAGCTCCGGCTTTTCTTGGTATGACATTAAGGAACCCTGGTGGCACAATGTGTTGGAGCATTGGGCCATGATCTTGTCTGTGAGATCTGTGTTTTTCGTGTCCAGCGCGAGACGGGGGTGTGTTTTTGTTCTCAAAAAAAAAACAGACTCGGGAACCCCTGGGAGAAATTCTACTGTTTCCCACGAAGTCACTAAGGTCAGAACTGACTCACTGGCTGTGGGTTTCTGGGTTCGGGCTTTCCTGGGTCAGGGTTTCTATGAAGAGATAGAAATGTGATGCCCTAGTTATGTCTGGTAAAGAGCACACAGACAGATTGGTGGATAGATGTATGGAAGGATTCACAGGTAGGTAGGTAGGTAGGTAGGTAGGTAGGTAGGTAGGTAGGTAGGTAGGTAGGTAGACATACAAAAAGAAGGTAGATGGAGGTATGAATAAAAAAATAAGAGGATGAGTAAATGGATGAAAGGAACGTAAGTAGGTAGACAAATATGTGGACAGTGCCGAGTTTCACAAGAAACTGTCTAAGAAGGAAGACAGCTGGGTAGGTGATACAGAGAATGGATAGACAGATGGTAGATGGATAAGATGGATGGATGAACAGGTTAATATAAAGGTAAGACAGACGAGGAAAACACAAGACATGGATGGAACAAGATAGGGAGGGATGGACAGACAGATGCAGCAATGACAGATAAACCAACAGATGGACAGATAATGGGTGGAATAGGAGACAGATAGATGACGACAGATACTAGACAAGTTACAACCAGGAACAGGTGATAGATACACAGACACATAGATGACAGAATACATAGATGGGACCTAGCAGAGAGCACATAAAAAATACAGATGAATAGACAGACAGACAGATGATGAGTGAGGTACAAGACAGACATGGTAAATGGCTGTTTACAGATACAGATGATAGATTATAGACAGATAAGTGATAAATACATACATGCATATGCATACATAGGTGATACATGCTAGAGATAGAATAGGTAGACCACAGGGACAGGGGCGGAGCACATAAAACGAATACAGATGCAGAGTAAATATGTAGGTACGTATATAAGTAGGTAGATATACAGGCAGATAGATACAAACCTACACACATATTTACGTATGTTGTTGTTAAGTGCCTTCGAGTCGGTTCCGACCCATAGCGACCCTGTGTATAGGGTTTCCAAGGAGCAGCTGGTGAGCTTGAACTGCCAACCTTGCAGTTCAAACAGCTTTGCAGTCTGGCGCATTAACCCACAGCGCCATATCAGGAGTCCATGTTAACGTATACAGATACATAAATATAGATGATAGATATAAAAGGTATGTACGTAGGTAGATAAGTAGACAAAAACAGATATGTACACGGGTGATAGAGAAATAGAATAGGTACAGACAAGACACAATGAGGGAGCAAATTAAAGAAACACAGAAGGAAAGCAGGTAAGATATACAACTACACAACTACAGAAATGACAGAGATGGAAGGTAGCTAGGTAAGATGGTAAGTAGATGGACGGAGAAATGGATGGATGGGTAGATGGATGGATAGCTCAACAAGTAGACGGTGGATAGATGGATGGATGGATGGATGGATGGATGGATGGATGGATGGATGGGATGAGTGGGTGAGTGGGTGGATGGATGGATAGATGAGTGGGTGGGTGGATGGATGGATTGCTAGATAGGTAGATGATGGATGGATAGATGGATGATAGATTGGTAAATACATGAATGGATGGCTAGACGGATGGATGGATGAACAGATGATAAAGATGAGGAATAGGAGCAGACAGCACACAGAGAGGGTAGCACAGAAATAATTAACAGTTTCTCACAGACCCCGCTTTCCTTGTCCAGGGTGACACCCACAGGCATAGGGCTTCGGACTCGAACACATACTTGTATTCTGGGAGGCCATTATTCAATCCTAACGCCCTTAAAATAGACATCACTGCCACATCGGGACATACCCCAACAGCCACAGAACTCGACTTTTTGATCTGGTGTGGTACTGTTTGATCAGTACTGGACTTAAAAGCACAAGGTTGGCAGTTCAAGCCTACCAGTTGCTCCTTGGGAATTCTATACAGGATTGTAATGAGTCAGAACTGACTGGAGAGCACTTAACCACAACAATACTGCGTGTGTCTCAAGAGCTAGAAGGCTGAGTGTTGGTGACGGGCTGGCGTGTTAGAACACTACTCACCCCGACAGCATCTCAAAGATGAGGATGCCCATGGCCCACCAGTCCACGGCCCGACCGTGCCCTTTGCTCTGGATGACCTCGGGGGCGAGGTACTCAGGCGTGCCACAGAGGGTCCATGTCCTGGGAAGAAAACAGAGACACCGACCACAGGGTAAGCCGTGGACTCTACAACAACCGGGTCTTCACATGATCAAAGTGACGCTTTTGGTCCCATGGGCACAAGCTCCTGTAGACACAACGTCTGAGAGAAACACCCTCCTGTAGACACGCTCTCTTATCCAGGGGCAATAACATGGCTTTCAAAACCAGCTGTTGTGGAGTTGAGCCTGACTTGTAGAAACCCCATGTTCTGCAACAAAGAACTGTGCTCCCCAGGACTTTAAATGTCTGTGATGAGAGAAGACCTGGGCAAATTTAGCTTCTACCGCCACCTACTGGAGACTGAGAGAATGGGGTGCAGGTGAAATAAGTTGTGGATGGACCGGTAGACAGATGCATGTGTGGGGCGGGTGGATGGATGGATGGATGGATGGATGGATGGATGGATGGATGG